TTTTCTTAGCTGTAGAGACTGTATCCCACCTTCGTCGCCAGTGTTAAGTCCTGGGAATAATGGCGCTTGAGACGAATCATCTCCAACAAGTCTTTATTGTTTGCTCCACTCTACGAACAACCAGAGCAGAGGCACGCAGGCCTCTATTTATACCCTCTGATCCCCGGGCAAGTTCAACCAATCATGAGGCGGGCTTTTCCCGCCTTGCGCATGCGCGCAAGGCTGGCGCCGCTCAGTCTGGTCCCAGGCAGCTTCTGCAAATGCCCGGGACTCTTGCAACGTCCCGAGCCTGCCTCTTGCAGGCTCAGGACACAACAACCCCCATATACATACAAAGGTATACAGCCGAAAAGCAATAATTTTGCATCAGATTTTGGCTCTCCAATCTGGCAGGATATGAGCACTGCAAAAGTGGGGCTACATGTCATCTGCAAGTTGCTCATGGGTTACTTCCTCTTTTCGAGGCTTACAGTGAATTGTTGTCTTGTTCTTTTTGCAGAAGTCCAGGAGGAGAATTGGGAGCTAAAAAGAAGAAAAAGAAGCAGAAAAGAAAAAAGGAAAAAACAAATTCCAGACATACCAAATCAGACTCTGCTTCTGACTCGCAGGAGATTAAAATTCAGCAACCTTCAAAAGTGAGAGCTTTGCATTTATTTTCACATCACTATTTTACTCTTCTTATTAGTGACCACAGAAATCTTTTTTAATTAAATCAGATTTATGAATTGACCTAATTCATACATTCAAATTAATAATTGGAATCAAATCAGTTTGAAAGTTCAAATTGAATCATTTATTTGCATTGGCTAAATTCAATATTTTTAACAAATCAGATCAGACTCAATGCACATAAATGTTGTAGTTTTGTAACAGTTTTTTTTTCCCTACAAAATTTGTTTTAGAATTTTTTTCAAAGAAGAAGAGACTTTCAAGAAAATTCTGTGGTTGATTGTTGTGTTCTTACATATATTTACTTGTGAGGCACCCAATGGCTGTAAATGTCACACCATCATTTCTCCAGTGATTGTAGCCTCACTGTTTTTAATGACGACGATGATGATGGACCACTTGGTTAGCTGCTATAAGAAGATCGCTCAGACTGACTACAGACAATAGCATGACAAAGTACCAACAAAGGTATATTGGTAGATCTGCAAGAAATACCATTTGCCTGCAAGCAAGAACTGGTGGGACCATAAAAATAGAGAAAGTAATAGAAAATGAAGAAGCTAAATTGTTGTGGAACTTTACACTTCAAACAAACAGGTACCTCTGCATAACACCCAAGTCTTAACAATTGTCAATAAGAAAGACAAGAAAGTGTGGATTGTGAACGTTGCATTACCTGGAGAGAGCAGAAGAGAAGAAAAAGAAGTGGGGAAGATAACAAAATACAAATACCTGCAAATAGAAACAGAATGACTGTGGCAAAAGAAGGCAAAAGTAGTACCAATAGTCATAGGTGCCTTGGGTGCAATCCCAAAAGAACTGGAGCACCACTTGAACACCATCGGCATGACAAATTCACCATCAGTCAATAGCAAAAGGCAGCTTTACTCAGAACAGCTTACATCCTGTGACGATATCTATAACACCATCAAACATCCACATCTACCTATCCCAGGTCCTTGAGAAAGATTCGAGTCTGACTGCGATGAACAACAACAACAACAATAATAATAATGGCGGCCGGGGGAGGGTGGGGCTGCCTCGCCTCGGCCTCGTGGGGCTATGGCGGCAGCGAAAGGCGCGGGGGGCGGCCTACCTGCGATGACAGCTTCCCTGCCCTTGGCCGGTCTGTGATCCCACCTGCCGGGCGGGGAATCAGCGGGGGGGTGTGTGCCTTGCTTTGCTTTCCCTCGGCCTCGTAGGCGACGGCAGCAGAGCAGTAAGGGCGGCTGGGGGAGGGCGGGGCTGCCTCGCCTCGGCCTTGTGGGGGTATGGTGGTAGCGAAAGGCACGGGGGGCAGCCTACCTGTGATGAAGGCTTCCCTGCTCCGGGGTCCTCTCCTTTCGCGGCCTCCACCCAGCGGCCGGCATGCCACCCGGCCAAACCCAGAGACAACAGTTTCCCTGCTCTCGGCCAGTCTGTGATCCCACCTGCTGGGCGGGGAATCGGAGGATCGCTTTCTGTGCCGGGGCGGGGCTACGCTGGACTGGGCGCGAGCAGCTGCATTCCATTTCTCCATTTCCTTCTCAGCCTTCGCCATGTGTTTGTGGGACAAAAAAAAGTTCCATGACACTTTCTAACTTCTTGCGACCCAACCCTTGCAGAGCGCCCTGCTCTCGCTGCTCTGACCTAACCCTCACAGAGTGCCCTGCTCTCGCCGCCCCGCCCCAACCCTCACAGAGCGCCGTTCTCTCGCCGTCCCGCCCCAACCCTCACAGAGCGCCCTTCTCTTGCAGCCCCCACTTAACCCTCGCAGAGTGCCCTTCTCCCACCTGCTGCCCATCATCCCACCCACCAGAGACCCCCTGGATCTCCCCCAACCCTGCCCGGCCCCCACAGGCATCTCTTCCCCATGAGCAACATTGAGGTGGCCACGCCCACCCCAGCCACTGCAGCCACGCCCATCCAGTGGCCACATCCACCCAGTGGGCCATGCCCACCTGGCACCCGACGATAAATAAGTGGGGTTTGGGTTGCAGTTTGGGCACTCGGTCTCTAAAAGGTTCGCCACCACTGACCTATTCTATACCTGTGCATTTGGTTTTTCTTGCCTATGTCAGGCGCAAGAAATCAGGAGTCAGGATAGAGTTCAAAAGCACTACAAGTTTATTTCATATTACCTATACACAAGAATCTGATAAAGACAAATTAGAGCCAGATAAGAGTCAACAGACTCCAAGGGGGGCTGAACGTAGGTCTCTTAACAGGGGCCTAGGGACTCCAAACTGATGATGCATTTGACCCCACCCTTAAGCTCAGCCTAGTCATATCATACATTACTCTCCCCTACAACTTGGTCCCCCTCCTCCTCCATGGGCTCCTCAGAGCTGCTCTCCCCCTCCTCCGTCCTCTTCAAAGTCTGAGTTCTCATATGAACTAGGCAAGGGTGGGAGGGAAACAGCGTCAAATGAATCTTTCCTCAGGGCGCAAAGGGAGCCTAGTAGCCCTCCTGGTTAACCCTGCCTTGGTCAAGAAACTGGGTGTGAGACTCAGATAACTTAAAGTGCCTGTAGCTTTTTGCCAGCTGGACAGCTCAGTGGCAGTGGGGGATCCCAGCGACATTCATCACTGAGACAATAGAGATGAGAATGGGAGCACACACAGACCCTGAGGTTTATTGTGGACCCTGGCATGGAGAGACCTCTTGTGTTAGGACTGTCGTGGCTTCTGAAGTGAAACCCCTATGTGAACTGGAGGACGGGTTGCTAAAGATCCGGCGGGCCAGCTGCAAAGGGGGATAGGAGAAGGACCGTAAAAAACCTACCCCTAAGCTGTCGGGGGCAAAGCCAAGAAGGGAGGTGGGAGCAGCCACCAAAGACTGGCCCCAAGGTGATCCTCAGATCCCCAAAGAGTACTGGGACTTACAGGACATTTTCAGTGAAATGGGGTCAGACACGCCCCCACCCCACTGGCCGGCTGACTGTTCCATAGCAATCCTACCGGGGGGCCAAACTACCCCAACCTAAGCTGTATTCCATGACCCCTAGGGAATTGGCAGAACTATGGACATTTATAGACAAAAACCTGAAGCGTGGTTTCATCCAGCCTGCCAGACCAAGGGTGGCTGCCCCGGTACTGTTTAGGGAAAAGAAGGATGGGTCCCTTCATCTATGCATTGACTATCGGGGGCTTAATGCTGTCTGCATGGAAAACATCTACCCCCTCCCCTTATCAAGGAGAGAAGCAACTTAGAACTAAGGAGAAACTTCCTGACAGTTAGAACAATTAACCAATGGAACAACCTGCCTCCAGAAGTGGTGAATGCTCCAACACTGGAAGTTTTTAAGAAGAGACTGGACAGCCGTTTGTCTGAAATGGTGTAGGGTTCCTGCCTGGGCAGGGGGTTGGACTCGATGACCTCCAAGGTCCCTTCCAACTTTATTATTATTATTATTATTAATGAAGGACATGCTAGCCCATTTGGCCAAGGGAAAGGTCTTCACCAAATTGGATTTGCAGGAGGCATACTACCGGGTTAGGATCAAGGCAGGGAATGAGTGGAAAATGGCTTTCAATTGCTTCTTAGTATTTTTCCAATTCTGAGTCCTCCCTTTCGGATTGCAAGGGGCCCCTGCTGTGTTCATGCAGCTGATAAGTGCTGCATGAACACCTGTACAAGGGAGTGTTAATTTACCTGGTGACATTTTAATCTATACTGAGACCATGGCAGAACACATAAAACTAGTCAGAGCTGTGCTCAAAAAACTTCAAGCAGCCAAACTATATGCCAAGCTATCCAAATGTGAATTTCACCAGAGTAAAATTGACTATCTGGGCTACCGTATTTCCCACAAGAGGCTAGAGATGGACCCTGAAAAGGTGCAGGCAGTACTAGAGTGGGCTCCTCCCCATGCCCAGAAGTAACTACAAAGCTTCCTGGGATTTGCAAACTTTTACTGCTAATTCATTCCCTTGTTTGCCCAGATAGCCCTCCCCATCACCAACCTGCTAAAGAGAAAAGGGGAGGGAAAGCCCAAGCCCAGCTAGCTGCTTACATGGACTATGGAATGCCAAGCCGAATTCAAAAAGCTTAAGCACCTGTTCGCGGCTGAGCCAGTGCTGAAACACCCAGACCCCAATGCCCCCTTCGTCATTCAGGCTGACGCCAGTGGTGTCACAGTGGGCACGGTGCTTCTGCAGGAAAATGAGCAGGGGATCCTACAGCCATGTGCTTACACTTCTAAAATGTTTAATGAGACGGAATGGAGATGGACGGTTTGGGAGAAGGAAGCCTATGCAGTACGCTGGGTGCTCCTAAGTTGGAGACATTTCCTAGAAGGGGGAAAAAACCCATTTGAAGTATGGACTGACCATAAAAACTTAGAAGCCTTGAAACAACCCCAGAGACTATCACCCAAACAAGCCTGGTGGGCCCAATACTTTAACTGATTCAACTTCATGTTACAATACCTCCCAGGGGGGAAAAACATCCTTGTCAGAATCCAATTATATTTCATCTCTAGTTATCGACTATGGAAAACCCCATTTCTGCCCTCTCTGGATTCTGTCATACGATGAAAGGGAAGGTGGGTGAACAAAGGGGTTTTATGGCCCTCACTTCCTTCGGCACAACTTCAAAGGGACTGAATGTGGATACCACCAAAAGGACTCATCAATAACAATGGGGCTATCAGCTTTCATCTACTCCCCTCTGAAGTTTCCTTTCCACCGGCAGTGAGGAAAAAGGGGATGGAAATGTAACACCTGGGATTGCCGCTGGAAGGACGGTGGGGTGGGGTGGGGCTGTTGGGGATCCCTTAAAACCTTGAACCGTAAGGCTTTGGCCCCAAGTCCTGTCTAGAACGCCTGCAGCCATTTTCCCTTAATAAAGATGCCTGTTGGAAGAAATATTCCAAGAGTTCTGTCTTCTTAAGGTGCAAAGTGGGGTGGGTACTGACATTAGACAGGACTTGCAAAATTAGTCCACCTGGAAGGAAGAACCTTGCTGGGGGACTTTGCAAAAATT